AAGAAAGTGCAGTTGGCTGACAGAAAGGTGAGATGGAAGGACGAGGAGGTTGAACTAGTCGCCATGGAGGAGGCTAAGGCCATTTACGAGGGCAATGTCCGGTTTGTACGGCAGTATCTATTATCTACGCCCCTTTTGAAGTCGCTCGGGTGTGATATTGAGCGATTGAAGGGTCTCCGGAAGAAGGAGACGTACAAAACTCTCGTGATGCAAAAATTAACATCTCTACAAAGCCCCTCCCCAGATCCCTCTTCAGATGTAGATGGGCCGAACATCAGCCCAACCACCCATCAAGTGACTGGGGATAGCGACGACCATCTAACGCTTCTTCCACCAGAGGAGGAGGCCAATGATATTAACATCTACATCAACGCAATCAAGCACTCGATCGGGTCGACCCGGGATGGTAGTCAAATTACATCTGATGACTGCCATCGATGGGTGATGAAATTTCCTCCATCCAAGACAGAACATCGTGGCCCTAGAATACCTAGGGACACGGTGGCTGCACATATCTCGAACTGGCGTAAGAGGTGGCGGGAATATGCTGCCATGCAGAGCTTGTGGACCAAGAACATGTCGCGAGCGGCTAAGTTTGTCCTGGATGGCGAGATGCGCGCCGTCCAGTCCTCTATGGAGTAGTTGATTGAGTTTTGGAAACCCATTCTCACTACTCCATCCCAACACCTAGAAGAGGAAGTGGTCGCTCGGGAGGACCCGGCTTTGCAATGGCTTGCAGATGCAATTTGTCCCAATGACATCAGGGACAGTGAAACACCGCTCGCCTCGGCTGCCGGTTTAGACGGCATTTCCAGCCGACAGTGGAGGAGTGTGCCAATGCGTTTGCGGGCACTGTTCTACCACATCGTCCTGGCTGTTGGAGAATTTCCATCTCAACTCCTACTCAACAGGACGGTGTTTGTTTCCAAGAAGGATGGGAGCTCACTACCATCAGAGTTCCGTCCCATAAGTGTGGCCTCTGTTGTCGTTCGTCAGCTACATAAGATCATAGCGATGAGATTGGTGAAAGCCAAGATCATCGACGAGCGACAAAGAGGCTTACATGATGGCTGCGCCGAGAACAGTATGGTTCTTGACACGCATTGCACGTAGCGAAGACATCATTTCGTGAAATGCATGCCGTGTCACTCGATGTCGCGAAGGCATTTGACAGTGTCAGCCATCATGCCATTACATCGGCAATGAGGGGACTAGGCATACCATCTAGCCTCGTCCGGTACATTGATAATATGTACGGGAAATGTGGAACGGTGCTCCAAGTGGCCGGACAATGTTCACAACCAATCGTGGTAAGGCGGGGTGTGAGACAAGGAGATCCCATGTCAAGCATCCTATTTGCCATGGTTGTGGACAGAGTCATGAGGTCACTACCCACTAACATCGGGTTCAAAGTACACCAACATCGGACCAACGCTATGGCATACGCGGATGACATAGTGTTATTTGCATCCTCTAAGGCTGGCATGGAGACACTACGGAAGACTGCCGAGGAAGAGGCCCTTAAATATGACCTGCAATTCAATCCATCGAAGAGTCAGGTCATCTCCATCCAAATAGTGGGGAAAGCTAAGACTTATAAAGTCATGAGCACCCCGCTATTTAGGCTACAAGATGGATCCATTAAACAGCTGGGGTCCACAGAAGACTTTAGATACCTAGGCATTAACATCTCGCCATTAGGTATCAAAAAGCCGGGTGGATATTTAGAGAGAGAGCTGAATAACATCTCTCGAGCTCCTCTCAAGCCTCAACAGCGGCTTAAGATCCTTCGCTGCTTTTTCATTTCTCGCCTGTATCATAGTCTGATGCTCTAACGGATCACTGCGAGGGTCTTGAGGGCGTTGGATAGGCAGGTGAGGATCGCAGTCCGTAGGTGGCTGCGCCTGCCCAAGGACACTCCGTTAGGGTACTTCCATGCCAAATGCAGGGATGGCGAATTAGGAGTCCCGGCCTTTGTAACATCTGTGCCGGGACTAATGCATGCCCGAATACTGGCAATGGCCCATTCCACATCGCCTGCGGTACGGGACGCCACTCAACATCTTTATAACGTTAAGCTGGTTCGATGGGCTGAGGGGATGTTCACATATAATGGGCAGTCACTAACGAGTCCAGAAGATCGGCGACGTTACTGGGCGTCCCGGCTCCATCAGTCCAACGATGGAAGCGAGTTGCGTGAGGCTGCTAATGTCACCGCGAGCAGCTATTGGGTAGACGCAGGTAGTGCGAGAGTCCCTGGTCGGAATTAAATCCAGTACCACAGGACACGAATAAACGCTCTGCCCTCCAGAATTAGAACATCTAGAGGACGCCGTGACGGAGGTGTTCCTGTGCTTTGTCGTGCCGGATGTCACGTGGCGGAGACTACGGCACACATCGTGCAGGAATGCCACCGGACTCACGGCAGCCGAATTCTGAGGCATGATGCCATCTGTCGCATAGCTGCGATAGGGCTCAGGCAAAGGGGGTGGTGCGTGTTCGAGAATCCGCACTACTGTCTTCCATCAGGGTTACAGAAATCCGATGTCGTCGCAGTAAAGGATGACAGCGTCAAAATCATCGATGCACAGGTGGTTAGCGGAGCAGCATCACTCGACGACGCACATAACATCAAGTGTAGAAAATATGATAACCTTCCGCTTAAACATCATATAACTCGTGAGTTGGGGGTTGTGATCAAGAATATCTCGGTCACATCCATTGCCCTCTCATGGAAGGGTATCTGGTCGTTGAAGTCCGCTAGCGACCTGACGTCCTTAGAGCTCCAAAAACTCTTGCCAGGCATTACAACAAGAGCCTTGCAGGGTTCGCACATGAACTGGACACGGTGGAACAGGATGACTGGTGTCACCGGCCGTCCTGTCCCACGAGAAGGGGTAGGATAGGGCGATTGCGGTCAATACGCTTATGCGTTTGGGTAACCCAGACCCCACCACCTTAAGTCGGCATTGGAAAATAAAGCCGCAGCCTGCGCTATCAACATCTTCAGTGCGGGTGACAGATGGAGTTTTAGTGGGTATTCCTCCATGGAGGCGAGCCTCACATACCAGCGCCAACATCTGCTGAGATACGTAAACGCATTTCTCCATCTATAAAAAAAAAAAAAAAAAAAGAATGCTCTTTTACAGTAGTGTTCCCAGGGCGACAATTGAGGCCCCAGCCCCCTTGCTTTTTCAATATTACCTGGGCCGATTTCTTGGTCATACGCTTCTTCCAAATTAGTGCTCCATACTCAGTGAGCCTGAGTTTGAGGATTTTCTCAAATGTTCATCCCCCAGGATATCCAGCGGGCACGTACCTGATCCGTGACGGCCTAAAGGCCAGTTTCGGGCATCGCACAACTCAGGGTTTCGCATAATACTTTTAGTTTGAGGGAGGGGTAGATTTTATCTATTCAGCTACACCCATCGCCAAAATAGAGGCTGCTTCTTAGTCACTTAATGAGCTCATCAACTCAGCATTGGTTTCGGTCAAGGATAAGGTACCTAACTGTATTTAACTGACGCCTTCTCCCTCACAATCATTGCAATGCTTGTTTTACGAGGATGCCAGTCATGTACGCATTCATATGACTATCCACTTATTCATTTGCTTATAGGTAGGAAACTTCTGAGTCGCCACTCACCACCTTAAGCTCCCTCACCAACGACAAGTTTCCACAACTTTTATAAAGAGAAACTATAGATAAATTAGCTAATAATTCTTGATTCTTTACTTTAGATCTTTAAAGCGGGTATTGGTTAGGTAAAATTTGGTTAAAAGATAGAAAAAAGAAAAAAATTTTTTTCATAGGTAATGGTTCGTGACAATTTATTGTAACGGCTTTTGAGCTAACTACTTTCGAATAATTCATGAAGAAAATACTCTGAGATCTTTTAGATGATATCTGTTTAATTGATCTAGACGATGTTATAGTTGTTACTTTAGTTTTATCATGCAATAAATTTTTCTTCTTTGATGTTATTATTAAATATATTCAGTTCTATATATGGGTAATTCGAAATATATGAGATAAATTAACGCCTTGGGTAAATTTATAAAGAGCTTTTGCCTCACCTATTTATCATTATTGATATTGTTCATTGCTATTCTTCGTAAAATTCGTTCATTTTTATTGTAATAATAGTCCAGATATCGAGAACCACTGTTATATTTTGAACTACTCCTTTTTTCCAGTTTTTTTTCCATAATTGAAGATACATTTGCATATGCAATAAAAGCTTTCAAAGTCATGTGTGATTTTTGTTATATAAAAATAACAATCTTCTCAGTTTAAACCATATTGAAAGACTTTAACTAACAGAAAGAGGTAGAGAAATCTACATAGGTAATTTGATCAAAAAAATTGTACTACAAGAGACAAATTATTTCATTTCGATTCCCTTCTCTTTTTATTTCTTTCTTATCGCTTTCCGTAAACAGTAAAATTATTTGAAACAATTTTGTTTAGCAAAATAACCTTTATACTTACATTTAACGCGTAGAAATACATAATAAGCGTACTTTATAAAGGGGAAAAAATATTTCATAATGTTACAAGAGTCTTCAGTAGTAGTTTAGCGGTCGTTATCGTAAATTTTTTGGATTTTAGCGGGGATTTTGAACAATTTTTACTTCATATTCAGATTCTGCGGTTGAAAATACGTAAGAAGTATGTTTCACCCAAGTAAAAAAACTATGTTTCAGAATGTTCCAGTATTTATGAAATTAATTTTAGATCTCATTTTTAACAAATACTCATCCTCCCTATTTTTCGATTTTGTAAGAAACTTTGAGGATGTATAGGCAATTTAAATTCCAGATGCGGTTTCAGCGGTCCAAAATACACGGAGATAGATGTTTCTTATAAAAAGTACAGACTACTTTTTTCTGTGCTGGTATCATTGATATAAATTTCTTTGTAAAATTATTTACTTCACAATTTTGTTCTCTTGAAAAATGATTTTACAATCTTTAAATATAGACGTGTTTTTTTTCAGAAACATGTTTCCGGACAATCTTTTTCAAGCGGCTTTTCAACAGGTATGTTTAAAATAAACTTATCCAAGTTTTTTTACCAAAATTAATCTATTTAAAATTCCTTTATAGGCTCATACCGTTTATGTACCAAAGAAAAATAGTTTTCAGAATAATACGGAATATCTCACACGCAGTGAAAAGACGAATGATGACGAATTAATACGAGTTGTTCAGTATAGAAGTGGAACGAATACGCTAGGCATCGTATTTTTCTGCTTAATTTTTGGTACATTTCTTGGAACTCTAGGAGAAAAAGGTCTAGTCGTTATAGACTTTTTTAAAGCCGTTTTCGAAGTAATCATGCGCATGGTATCGACTGTAATGTGGTGAGTGAATCAATAAAATATATCGTATCATTCAAAATTTGTTTCATTGAAGAAGCGAATGAAATCGAACAAATTAATATTGCTTCATGTAACGTTATTGAATAAATATAACTGCAAATTTTTTTATGCCACTGATTATAATTATATGGAATTAAACGATCCGTTAAATATTATTATAAATTATAAATGAAAATAAGCATATAATGTGCCAAACCTTGTGAAAATCAATATAAAAATGATCATTAATAGCACGTTAAATAACTGCCAACTTCGGTTTTTTAATAATTGAAATTTCATTAGTAAACAAACGGTGGCTGTGTCTTTTAAAATCGGGGATTTATGGTCAATTCATTAAGTAGAAATAAGTATTAATTGACCAATTAACATATATACATATATATATTGTTCGGCAATGTGTTTATTATAATAGTAAATTTTTCGTGACATCTGTTTATTATTTTCTCGGATAAAATTTCTGATAGATATATAATTGACAGAAAACTATTTTGTATTAACTTATTGACCAATCAAATATATATTCTGAATCAGTAATTAAATGAAACCCGATTTATGAATATATTTGCCGCATTTGCCGTGGCTCATTTTTGAAAACATATACTCCTAAAAAGATCGATAAAATAACATGATACTATCATGAATGTGTTTTCATTCAAGCCTGTTATTTTAATTTTTTTACGTGTTCGCGCCAGTTGCGCTCCTTAGGCTGAGAGAGGAGGAGCAGTGTTATGACGCCTTGTTGTTGTAGAAAACGTGCTCAATAGATGGACAGTATTGACCTTTATTCCTCCTTCCTTCATAGCTTACGCAAATCTGGTCGACACATGTTGGGGAAAACCCAGTGCTCAGACCATGAAAAAAGGATCACGTGACGCTCAAGTAGGTGAGCGCCTGCTCGAACCCGGCATGAGTAGGCTACTAGGGCCCTTGTCTAGAGTAAATGAGTGGGGATCTTCGCGAGACAACAAAGTCCAAATTTGTCACCGAGTTCTCAGTTTTTAGTGAGTCGCTCGAGAAGTAAGTTGCGCTCGACTCTCATGAAAGGTTCACCGTCGATTTGTGTAAAGGGCTCCGCGCGGTACACGATCATAGTTCCGCGAGGCAATCATTTGATTGCATACGCCAAGGTACACTTTCTGTCAGCTCAATTGGGCCAGTGGCGTTAACACGAAGGACTAAGAACAGGCTAACTTGCTGCCTTAGCAGAGGTAGCGCTATCTCCTCTGGAGTATCCCGGGATCTTGCGGCCTTGTACTCACATCCTTTGGCGCATTCTCTAGCGAGAGTAACCGCGAGCGCTGTTCCAGTTGGAGCATCGTTCCGTCGTGACCTGGGGATACTTCCCTCTCTACTCTTAGTGTGGTGCTGCGAGTATCCTGACAAATGAACAACGTGTGACTGAATGGCCATTCAAATTATAGCATAACTAGTTTATTTAATCAAGTATTTGTTTATCTTACTACTAAATGCTCAATTAGATTACTTATTAATTGTTAATGATTGATAACTAAAATCTAAATGGCTTTTCTTCCACTTGAGACTGGGAATTTTTATGCCGACTAGATCTTATATTAATAAATAAAACAGTATATTTTATTTAATCCTGTATCTTTATTTGCACAAGCATCCGACCTGTAGTTTGGATCCTAACTCGTCATATTAAATCTATCAGTTGTATTTTTATTCGGCAATTTCACAAAATTATTCACGGTGCATCGAGTGAGGAGTGTGTGACTGTAAAAATGAAGTTGTGCTTGATTGATCTATTTATTTAGTTTAACATTTATTTCTAATCAGCGCAGTAAGCAGATAATGCCATATATAGATTGTATTTATTTGTGCGTGTTCTTAATGGAATCTTGCACTATTGTGAATTGTGCAATTTGTATATGTGTAACTGTGTGCGAGGTCCACCAAGATGATAGTGAATCCCTTTAGCACGACTCGTCACACGGTAGCGTCATCGCAGCGACGAAGTCGCGGCGATCGGCACTTGCATGAAAGAGCATGACTCCGACATGCTCAACAAAATGATCGTGCAAACGCGTTTCACCGCGGTGGTGTGGCTGTGGAAAGAAATTCGCAGAGCGCACAATAAAATCGCGATACGTGCGGACGCAGAAAACCATAAGTTATAACCGAAAATGAGTTCGATAAAATACGCCAGGTGTATGAGGAGACTCTGGAATGGCTATCGACTGCGATGACAAGATTCCCAAATGACAAGGAGCGCAATCCTTGTCGATGCGAATGCAATAAATACGAGGATGACGACCTATCAGCAAAATTACCCATCCTCGATCTGCCCAGTGTTTCAGGCAATTATGAGGATTTGGACAGCTTCGCCGGTATCTTTCGAACACTCATACATGACGCGCCGCGTATTAAAGATACCACCAAACTTCAATACCTGACGACTTGCTTGAAAGGCACCGCCGTCGACTTAGTTAAAGATGTAGTAATTCTAGGTGTGAATTTCGTATCTACATGGGAAGCCCTTCAAGATCGATTCTATAACCTGCGCTTAACCGTTAACCGTTAATCTAAAGAAAGAATCTGCGGTAGATTTACTTACGTTCATGGATGAAACATAGAGGATTGTGCGCGCGCTCACTAACCTTTGCACGCCAGTGTTACACTGGGATATGTAACTTGTACACACGTTAGAAGTCAGGTTAGATCCTGAGATCTAGGAAATTCTGGGAAGCAGAATTGATCGTCAGGAATAGATAATTAGCCTTGAACGTGGCATATGATGGCGAGAATGACGCGGCGCGTTTTCCTAAGTTCCATGATTTAGTATCATTTCTCGAAAAGCGTGCTCAATCTCTGTCGGTAATTCATGCAGACAGAGACGACAAGAAGGCTGCTCAGCCGCTCAAACGCGATCTCTAACTCGCGTAGAGTTCATCATATGCAAACCAGCTAATGCGGGGAAGTGTGCACTCTGTTCGGGTGATCATTATATTACGCTTTGTCTCATCTTCAAGGAAAAGAAAAAATAGTCTGAACGTCTGTCTATCGTACAGCATTTGAAGTTGTATTTCAATGGTTTAGGCAAGCACAAGTCAAAGGACTGTCGGTTCACCTATACTTGTAAACTTGTTCCACCGCGGACAAATAGCCGATGCATCAAGCACGGCTGCTAAAGAATAACGCGCAAATTGCTAGCACTGAGCACGCGAAGCAGGTAAAGTCGAATCTCGCGCAACTAGCCATTGGATCCGGATTATCTGTAAACTCGTGCAGCACGCGTGGCAATGAAAGCCAGTGCTCGATCCTGCTCGCTACAGCATAAGTGATTATTGTAGGCTTTCGTAGACAACAAATGCACGCACGGACTCTTAGATCAAGGGTCAGAGGCTACGTTTATTTCCGAGTCATTAGTTCAGCTCCTCGGGCTTCAAAGAGACCTACAGGAGAGAAGGGCTACAAACGAACTTAACCGGTGTCGAAGGTTGTGAGGTCAGCGTTGTTAAGCAAGCTACCAGTTTCACATTGCAGTCGCGCATCGACTCTAACCTCAACCTCGAAGTCAACGTTTTCGTATTGCCACGACTTATGTCAGAACTGCCGTCTAGCAATCATTATGATCTCGATGTTGTATTATTTAAAAATCTCACTCTGGTTAATCCCGAGTTTAACCGTTCGAATAGAGTAGACGTTATGATACGCGCTGACATTTATGGTCAGGATGGTCAGGTATTTCGCTCAGGTCTTACCACTTTCCCCAACACACTATTAGTAGCGCAGAACACCGCGTTTGCGTGGATACTCTCAGGCCCCACTCAAGGCAACACGTCACGGTGGCCGGTAAAGTGTAATCGCGCGTTGGTGAGAGCTCTGCGTGACGCGGTTGATGATGACTTGAGCGAGGTTCTTCAACGTTTTTAGACACCCGAGGAAATTCCTAGTGCAAGCATGCAGCTAAAATCAAGCGACGAAGCTTGCGAAAAACTTTTTAGCGAAACGCATACGCGCGTCGCCGACGGACATTTCATGGTGCGACTCCCATTAGCTGCTGAACCACCGAATGTAGCCGTCGAGATGCGAAAAATAGCTGTGGATTCTTTCAAGCACCAACAGCAAAGGTTCTCGCATGATCCAAAATTAGCACGTGCGTAAATAGAGTTCATGCAAACTTATCTCGAGCTCGGTCATATGGCTCCCGTACAAAGAGCGGAGTTAAATAATACGCGAACGTGGTACTTGCTTCATTACGCTGTACTCATCAACGTTGGCGAGAATTCAAAGATCCGCGTCATGTTCGATGTTTCTCGTAAGACGCACGAAAAACATTGACTCTCTTTCTTTCTAATGACTTTCTTATGGCCAGACTGCCGCTTCAAAGCGATCTATCACTCATTCTCCTAAATTGGCGTCGATATTGCTACGTATTTACAGTAGACATCATGAAAATGTTTCAATAGATATGCGTTGCATCCGAGGATATGGACCTGAAACGTATCTTATGGTCATCTCCACAGTGAATACCTCCCACCGATTATCGTCTAGCGACTGTCCCCTACGGCACAGCTTCCGCGTCTTTCCTCGCCATTCGCTCCCTTTTACGGCTAGCATACAATGAAAAGTCACGATTTCCGCTCGGTGCAGCTTGTTTAAGTTTGAACACTTATGTGAACGACACGTTTGCAGGAGCTGAAGAGCTTGCAACCGCAGTGCGAATTTGAGACGAATTGATAGATATTCTGAGGTCGGCTGGTATCGAGTTAGATTAAGTAGGCAGCAAATCACCCGGATTTGTTGCCCTCGAGTGAGCAAGCAGAGAAAAATGATGCAGTCATAGAAATCAACAGCGGCAATGCTGTAAAAACACTTGGAGTGCATTGGAATCCATCGTCCGATGACTCATTTCAGGGCATCGAATTTTAAACAAAAGGCAGGGGAATTGATCAAACGATCAATTTATTCGTAAATTGCACATTTGTTTGACGCGTTAGACTGGTTTGCTCCCGTTACAA